TTTTGGGAAGCTCTGCAAAAAGGAAAGAGGGAAAAACAGCTCTCGAGTGATAAGATCAAGACACCCACATTGGCTGACAGAACATTGCGCTTTTAACTCCATCATACAAAAAGGAAGCTGACAGAGAAAGGAGATACAGAGGATCACCTGACTGGAAAAAGACAAAATGGCAGGAATCTCAAAAAATGAGGCCATAGCCCGTGCGTGTCCCACAGAGGTACGACATTCACAAAGAAAAATTCATAATGGTAAGTAAACTCTCAACAACATCAGTTTGAAGCTGCAGACTGACTCTTCACACGTCTAACAGATGGAATGCAGAATCTCACAAGGCATTATGAGCTCTTGTCATTTCAGCTTTGTGAACACCGCTGCAGCAAAGGCAAGTAACATGTTTCTTAAAAAAAAAAAAAAAAAAAAAAGCCATGCTGTGCATTTACACAACAGCTTAATTCCCTGACCACCTTCAAGACAAAACTACCCTAGGGCCCTCTTTGCTTTTATCAATTAACAAATATTTTTTTTGAAACACAAAAACCTTACAGGACAACTTTCCTGTTGTGTGAAAACTGAAAAATATTTTAGAAAAGCACAAGGCAGCCAACCATGCAGCCGTAAGGCATCAAAGAGTCATGGTGAAGCATGACGAATGCCAAACTTAGGAATCAACACACAAAAGAAAGTTAAACAGAGGCATAAGTAGTCTTGAGCTCCATAAAGCACAGGTTTTTAGGTTGATTTTTAAGTACGGAATTATGTCAGAGAAGAAGCTTGGAGACGCAACAAGCCAGCACATGACAGAGAGATTTCACACCACATCTAGGCCAGTTTACAAGAATCTGGTAAAAAAAAAAACTTGAAATCTGTCTACACAATTCCTGCCCCTGGTTGCAATGGCATTGTTATCCTGATGTTTAAAGTCACATGAAGACACACTGCTCACAATTGTGTCATTAAAATACCCTGCTTTATATCAGTGAGCTATACAGTGGTCATACCAGTCCTACTTTTCTCCACTTGTGAAGCTTTAGAAGCCCTACAGAAATGGAGCTGTTAAAAACATTATTGTGGGGATACCAGAAGCCCTACCTTCTACACTGTCTGTGTTAGTGTTTCCATATTTCGCCAGGCTGTTTGAGTCCAAAAAGTCACTTCGAGCTAATTTTACAGATGTGATGAATGGAAGAAAAGATAAAACACTAATATACAGTCCAACATTTTCTTATTCAACTGGCTTAGATATGGAGGAAACGGGTAATTGCAGTAAAAGCTAACTGAGACCAGTAATTAAAACACTGTGAAATGTTAAGCCATCAGGGGGCACTTGACTTGTAACTTCCAGGTTTAGCCCTTCTAAAGGCTGCTGACAACACTCCATTGTCGCAAAATTAAACAGTCTCCCTCTGTGTTTTTTTAATCTAACAGCAGACCACTTTTGACCGGCAGATTGAGTAGTTATGGAGTTAGTTGGAAAGACAAGGCCACATTCTACCCTCTAGATGAAATCCTTTTACCTAATAAAAAAATATTTTTTTTTTATCTTGGTTAGCTCTTGTGTTTAAGGGGAACTCAGACAGCCATAAAGAAGTGCTCTAGGTCATATGACATTAAGCAATACATCGGAGCATCTCAACTAACAATGACGAGTTTCTGAGCAGGGAAGCCTGCACATTGATACGCTAATATTTTTTTTCCGATTCCCCCCCCCTACTTATTAGCTTCTTAACATCCACCCAATCACCGGTACACCGTTTTGCATATTCACATTAAACACAGCAGTACGCTTGAAAAGAACACCGGTTAAACTTTTACCAATAAAGACATGTTAAACATCCCTAGAAATCTTAAAATCACCACAATTCAACCACCCCGTTCATTTTACGGACACCATTAGCAACAAAGCACAATTAATAAAGATACAGCAGCGTATTAAAGCAGAATTTAAAAATAAAGCTTTGACGTAATACCCTTCAATCGATCCCGAGGCCGTATTATAAATCCAATCTTAGATTGTTTATATTCCATTTGTCCATAAGGGGTCACAGATAAAAAGTAATCTAGCATATTCATAATTAAAACATTCCATGATGAGAAAATCGCCACATAAAATCAGTTTTTTACCATCAGAATACTCCCATCCTTATAGCTAGTGCTAACCATCTTGATAATTACCCTTGCTTTCACATACATTTCAGGTTGATGTTTAGTACAAGGTTTTATTTAATATTATTAAGCCCTGTCTTCTCCACTGTATATATGGTCACCATGTCTTTAGCTATGTGCAAAGCGACTGTGCTCCTTTACTCTCATATGCAGTGCTTTTCGCAAACGTTTAGGCTACGGATGGCTGTTTTTTTAGCTGAGGTTTGTTGATTTGTTCGGGATTGTTCGTCCAAGAGAGAGTGGCATTTTTTTTAATATTCTGCTGGAGGCCTCTGTTTAAGATGCTGAAAAAGGTTTGTGCTGCTGCTGCCTTTAGGCAAATGTTGCAGCGTGGGGGTTCTTGCTCCACATCTGTTGCAGCAAACACAAACCAGTTCCAAACAACGGATGATTTTATTCCTTTTTTTCAGGATTTACTTCCCATTCTCACCGGTAGCCATGATGTGGCAACTGCACCGTGAGAATAATACTTCAGCTACGGAAGCTCCGGGGAGCCAAAATTTTGACGCTATACAATCTCGCATGTCGCCGCCTCATTTGGAGCCTTGAGTATATAAAAAAAACAAAAAAAAAACATGTCTTTTTAGAGTGACTCTTCGTGCAGTGCCACCACAGGCCAGGGGGATAAGAGGTGGATCCAAAGGTTTGCTTTGGTTTGGCAAAGTGCTTTGTAAAATAAAATCTGCACCAGGGGAAAATGGTAACAATGACGCCAATCGACTATCAGGTGTGAAAAAAGACCTAAATCTCCCTGTGCAGTCACTGACTGAAGAAGAAAGCTACCGGGGCACATAATAGAAATGAGTAAGAGTTGAACACAGATTTTTTTTAAACTAACAAACAAAAAAGGCATGTTTTAATTATGTCTGTAAGTAATTACAGCTTTGTTTGATGACCAACATTAACTCAAGGATTCTAAGAATATTAGAGAGGCGGTTATAAATTAATCTAAATCATCCAAGATACAAAACTACACAAAAACAATGGCAGTAACCTCAATGTCCAAATCTAAAAAGCGGAAACTTAATGATGTCCTAGCTGTTTTTCTAACAGCTAAAACGAGGCATACATAATTTCTTAAATTGTGGTCTTCAAAGATATAAAGACAATCTATCATCCGTCTTCTCCTTTCATTCCCATGAATCATACAACTGGCCAAAAGGTTGTGGAATCATAGCAACAATGTTTGAATCAGTTTATCTTCTTCGCTGCCGCCATCATGCAGCGTGGAACAAACCAAGCACTGTAGTTTAAAACCCACTGATAATACATAAGCCCACGGCATAAATTCCCAAAGTGGGGGCTTCGGATCCTTGATATTTGCCTAAGATGGGTCAAATTTTACGCTTGTGTTTAATTCCTTTTTCCCCTGCAGACAAATGCAATGAGACCTGTTAGCTCGTCTAGCAAAATCAACCCTTAAATACCTAGATAAATATACATAAACAGCCTTCAAAATTTAGGTCACATGTGCTAAAGGCTCAGTTTTACCATGAATAAATAGCCAATAATACAAAAATATGCTTGAATGGCATGTTACATTAGATCACATACTTCAAGGACAAAACATAATGCACTAAATTAGTCAGCACTACAAAGGATTGGGAGAAGAAATGGGTGTGTTTCAGTAATCACATCAGGACAATGTAAATGGCTGTAAAGGACATCTCACTTCCTCTGTGACAAAAAAACATCATCGGAGTAAGAGAAAGGTATTATATGTCACAATAGTCCACATGTATAAAATAAAGGCAAGCTTTTGTGCTTACAGCAAACCGAACAGGATCTACCCCCCCAAAAAAATGCAATCAATTCAGCGATCGCCGGTGCAATGCGAAACAGTGTACAGTGCTGTGAATGGGCAGGCAGGTACTTTATGAATGGAGGAGATCATGTGACCGCACCACCTCCCAAAGCAGATATTTCTCACTGACTGTCAACAAGCGCTTACATTAGGGTGGGGGGGGGGATCAGCCTTGTTAAAAAATATCAAAACGTGATCATAAATCGTGTGTAGCGCACAATGGGCACGGCATGTACACATTACCGTAGTATCGGGTTTTTTGGTGGCGAAAGATGGGGCGTGAATGTTACAGTTTTACTGCGTTTTTTTATGAATGGGAACCGTCATATGTAAATATGTGTGATTGAGAAAAAAAGCCATCTTCTGCTCTTTTCAAAACCCCGACGACGATGAATAAGTCGATTGCGATTCAAAGATAGGCTCGATTTAAAAACAAGGATTAAATGCAGGATATAAATCAACTGAAAGGGATCGAAATCATGGCGGACAGCAGCTGTCTACACACAGATCCACACGGTCAATATAACGCTGTAGATTGTCAAAATATCTACATTTTTATTTTAAAAAACTAGATTATGAATACATACATGTAAAAAGTGGCGATCGGTATATATATTTTACTATATACATAATAAAAACAAATTAAACATACATTTCTCTGTCTTACTGAATCAAACTGACTGAAATATGGAGGCCTGATATACATTATCCCATCAAAGATCACGTCAGATGTGTCAAAACAAGATGAATAAAAGGGATTGCATTATTTTCAGATGTGCTACTGTTATGGTTATAACAAAACTGACATTGATCTACAAGTAACGAATGAACAATTAGAAGTCACATTTAATATATTAAAGGTAAGAGAAAATGCTGGAATACCAGCGCAGTATAATCAGAAATATTATTGGGACAGTGAATAAAAGCACACACTGTTATTATAAGTAATCCGAACAGTTATTTTAGATTCATTCGTGTGCGTAAAAGTCAATATAATTAAACATTTGTAGATATTAATGTGAGAAGTACTCACTCGTTGTTTGGATTTGTTGAATCTTCACTCATTTTTCCTCACGAGGATCCAAATCCTAGCAATAGCATCGACGGCGCAGTGACGGCGGGATAAAATACCACAAAAATCACCATTTTCCTTCATAAAACGAAGAACCCCCCTATTAAGGATGACGGGAAAACAATGTACAAAGAGGGGGCATGCCTAACCGAGCGTCCCCGCGAACGCCGAGTGAAAGCTAGCTTAGCTCTGTTGGCAGGGACTAGTGTAGAGCAGCGAGGAGGAATGACAGCCGTTGATTCATTTTATCCTCCCTGGAAGTAAAACCCGACCATAACAAATGAGCCAGCGGCACCATTCTCCTTTAGCGAACACACAACAGATTCCCCGCTATGCAAAAAAAAAATGTTTATAGATCCTCAAAAAGAAAAAAAAGCTGAAGTCGCCGTAGACTTTAACGTTTTAGCAGGTCATTTACGTCGAGCATCCATTCGTCCAACTTCAGCTCCAGGACGACACTTTAAAAGCGCCGTGCAGCTTCGGCTCCCCGTCAACGTGTCCGAGAATTCTGCAGTAAAGGCATCCGAAGCCCATAAAAAAAAGTAAGGATACTGACTGTTTCAGTATGCAAACATAGGGAGAAAAGAAACATGAAGGTATGAAATTCCCAGGAAAAGTTGGTGGACATCTGCTTTAATCGAACTCCATTTTCAACTCGGGGAAGGAGGGGGCGGTAAGAGGGGGGATGAAGCATCGGAAAACTGGGCGGATGTGTTGACCCTCTCTCGACAGAAAACGTAACCTTCCGCGACGTATTAAAAACAACTTAACTTTGCAAGCAAAATTCCAGTTAGCACACAGTAGGTTCTGATTTATTAAAAACTAACAGCACTTTTAAAATACGCCCTTTGCATCATTATGTAGGGAATTGGCTAATGTCGATGTACGGGGGGAACAACTAAAGTAGTCCCAAAACTTCCCAAAAAGAAGTTTCCCTAATCGCATTGATATAGAGGAGCGTCAGTATGCGAAGTTATCATAGGTGGGCACATGCTCTCATATATATATATATATATATATATATATATATATATATATATATATGTATATATATATGTATATATATGTGTATATATATGTATTTATATATATATATGTGAAATATTAAGTTATTTTACAATATTTAGAGGGCTGCACAATTCATGAGTGTAGTGCAATTCAATTCAATTTAGTTTATTTCTATAGCACCAATTCACAACCCATGTCATCTCAAGGCAATTTACAATTCACCAGATTGTACAGTCAAATTCATTCAAAGTTTTTTATCTAAGGAAAACCAGTTGATTGCATCAACTCATTGACTTGAATGCAATCCCTCACACTAAGCATACTTGTAGCGACAGTGGAGAGGAAAAACTCCCTTTTAACAGGAAGAAACCTCCAGCAGAAGCAGGCTCAGTGTTAGTGTCCATCTGCTGAGGCCGACTGGGGTTCAAGGATCCAGAAGCAGAGATACAAAAAGCAGCTGTCAAAGGCGGCCCCGTGCAGGAAACACGCAGCCAGGCAGACGAGCTCCAAGCCAGCTCCTATGTCAGAGGATGAAGAGAGGACATCCAGCCAGTCACAGTCAGGGAAACAGGACTATACTGAAAAACAGGCCGATCTCCAACATCTACAAATATTTTTGGTACAATACGTTTCGGGTAGAAATAGAACACGATATTAGATGTTATGAACCGGAATGACTTGTTGAATATATCAGGTTCTACTTGTAAATGTTTCTGCACACAGGCATACATTTCTAAAGGACTGGTGGGGACGTCCCCACCAATAATTTCAATAGACTTTGGCTCTCAGCAATACAGTGGGACAAATTTCTAAAGTGGATTTTGCTGCTTTTGAAGGAGGACAATCACTGATGTACAGTGTTGGGTAACTTACTTTAAAAATGTAATCCGTTACAGTTACAAGTTACCTTGTTTAAAATGTAATTGTAGTGTAACTTTTTCGATTACTTTTAAAAAGTAATGTAACTAATTACTTTTGATTACTTTTTGATTACTTTAAGGTTTTAATGAGTATTGACCCATGTTCAACATTTAATTTTTGAGAACTAAATGTGAACCTTAAAAAAGCACTAAGCTGAGAGGGAACTGCTGACAGGCAATCACAGGATGTCCATAAGAATAGATGCCAGCACCAGGCATGTAAGATTTTCTCAGACTCCTCTCATCGGGCCATACTCTTTTCTGTTCCTCCCCCAGGCTCTACCATTTACGCAGTTTGCAGACTAACACAAGCAGGTTCAGAAATCACTTCTTTCCTACAGTGATCACCTTATTAAACTTTAGTTTCCCTCCTTGCATACTGCAGGAGGGAAATGAGTGATTCACCTGAATGTGAGTTCTCAGGTTGGTGTTGGATGTCCTGGACGTTGACAGTTTTTTTTTTTTTTTTTGCAAAGCAGACATCTGTACACTTATTTTTTTATCTGAGAATTCAACAAGTTTCATAATCTCTGAAGATAAGGCCACAGTGTGGTAGGGTCAGTTTTGGGAACTACACACAGAAGAGGCAGAATAGAGGCTCATGCGTGAATGTCCAACAAATAACTCTGTTTTTTCAAAATAGAAAACCTGGTTTCATTTCTTAGTTATGCCCTGGATTTTGTTGCGTTTGTGGACGCTACGTCGCTTCTTGATCAAAGCAATAACGTCACTACAGGAAAGTTACTTGATAAATAAAGCAGCGACTCTACGGTCAAGCTACTGGAACATGTAGTTAAACTAATAGCTTCGCTACATGTAGCTGCGCTACTGCCTATCACTGTTTGATGCGCTGCTTGAGCTGAAATAGAACCGTCCGCTCGCTTGCTGTTCCTCAAGGAGGCTCCACCAACACATGATGGATCATCAGAGTGGCAAATATGATAGAGACAAGGAGCCGTAGTGGGAAACGGCTATACAGGGCGCGAAGCAATAAAAATATCATTACATATTTCGCAAAGGTTTTTCTTTATATTTTTTTTTTAATGTAACTAAATTTGTCATTCTTAATATTTTCGGAAGTAACTGTAACTGAATTACATATTTTCTCATTGTAACTGTAACGAATTACAGTTACTCTTTTTTTGTAATTAAATTACGTAACGTCGTTACATGTAATCAAATCAATCAATCTACATTTTTCTGGATGGATTGATGGATGAATGAATGAAACTAATATTGTGTGCATAGTAGGGAGGCACGATATATTGCTGTTGGCTTTAGAATCGGCTGTTTTTTATCCTTTTTTTATACATTAATGTCTAACTACCAATAAATATAAATATTAGTGTATTTTGGTTCTTTTGTGTTCTCAACAATAGCAAAGCATTCAATCAATATGTTTCGGCTCAATTTTGTAAAATACAAACACTATTGATAGCGTTTGTGTCGAGTAACTGTAGTTCCATCAGCTACTACCCTATGAGTGTCTCCACCAACTTTCATCACAAAGTTACACCCTTGTTTCTGCTTAATTCCACGGGGTGGGCATAGAGATTACACAAAAATTTGGGTATATTATTACCAAAAGCATAAAAGTACAAAATGGCTTAGGACTTGGACTAAGAGAATATTAATTTTGTATGGTGGAAGGTATGGCACATTTTATTTAGTAGCCCTGCTGTCGGGACTGTTGGGAGATGGTTATCTCTCAATGTCAATATTTCATTCCATGGATGAAATCTTTTTCTTGTTCTATGCATATTGAAGGTGCTTGTTTTGCTCACTTTTTTCATCTTTCAGTTACCAAGTTAAAATATTAACACTTTGACTTAAAAATCAAAAGGTTTTATATTGGAGGAAGAACTTTAGTGTAGATCCAGCTTTAGGTAGATTTGCAACCTTTCTAATACCTCAAGTAAAACCTATTAACAAACTGAGCCCTTTAACTCTAAGGCAGTTGTTGCAAATTCCTTTTAGTTTTGGTTGTCTGTTAAAATGTTTACATTTATAAAGAAAAGATTTAAAACACTTAAATGTATATTGTATGCCATAATCATCAACTAATTCTTTTGTTTATTTTAAACACTCAATATACATAACGGATAACTTAATGATATAAATAACTATGGAGTTTGTAATGATGCATTGTATGTTTTACAGAAGTTGGAGCCATTATCTGAAAATGATGTTATTGTGTTTAAGCAGCCATATTGGAAATTGAACTCATGGTAGCTTAGCCTCCTCCAACTTTCTTTTCTTTTTGGTTTGGAATTAAAATCTTTAAATTACATTCAAAAGAAGTAGAAATCGATGTTTCTATCCAACCAATATAATCCATCTTGATGTAGTTGTTACTATGGTAGCCTCTCTTCTCAGCAGTATCAGTTATATACTTACCGGTATGTAAAATGTTTGTAGATTTTTACATAAACTTTATTGGTTAAATTCCTGCTTTTTTGTGCAATATCAATATAATAATCTATTATACAGTAATTTTTGTTACTAAAGATGTTTCATTCAAATGACGATATAGATTATTAATTTTATTTATAAAAAGTCTGCAAAGAGAATGAGTTCATATTTCTTACGCCTTGAAATGTTTCCTAAAAAACTGTTTCTTGGAAGTTACTGTGTTAATCCATGAATGGATCCATTAACTTTATTTGCACATGTGTCTAAAGCTTTATAGAGTGAATCTGTGGCTTGGTTGTGTAAGACTTAAATGTTATTGGATTTCTCTGCTGTGTGGAAAGCCAAAAGATCAGGCTAAATGATTCTGCGTTGTTGTCATAGAGACAGCATGTTGTGTGAGAAGTTTCTCTGCATTCCTCTGGCTTTCATACACCTTTTGCCTCAGCCTTATGTTGCCACCATATAAAAGCACTCTTCGTGTTGCTACACATAGACGCCCCATGCATGCAGAAGCTATAAGTTTGCTACGACACATATTGTGGACTTCCTTTTTATTGTTTGATTAGGTTTTTTCTGTTGAGCTGTGTTTGTGCTCCACTGCTGACTCTTTGAGAGCAAAGGTGAATAGTCTGTCAGTGTTGTTTTCTTACCACATTACTTATGTCAGCTTGATATGAATGTTACAAGCCTGCATTTGCACAATCTGTATCTACATGGAGCCTCACACTGAGAAATCAAGAAACAGAGAGCTGACTATTATTTAAAGACCATAACTTTTTTTGCTTAATTTCTTCCTTTTCAAATTAGGTTAGCATTTGCGACTGATCAGGCTTGAAAGTCTAAATAAAGTGTTCTTTGTCTGAAACGGAGTAGAAAAAAACCCAAGTGACCATGAATTTTCCCACTTGCATGCCTTTATCCTGAGTATTTAGAGTGCAGGAAGTCAGCTCCCTTTCTCATCTCACAAACGCGGATGACCCTCATGCATTTCCTGTGTTTTTCACACACTTAACACCACACAATGTTGCTTATTTAAACAGGGCAACAGGATGTTTAGCTAACAGAGGCATCCCTTGACTTCATTCCCAAGTGCAACCAGAGTCACAGTTATCCTCAAGGCGGAAAACAAGCCACTATTCTGACTCTGAAAAGCAGCCACGGAAAATGGGATGCACTTATCTCAACACAAACCTCTTTCAGAGAAATTTTTGGCCTGAATTCTAGATTATATTCATAAGGGACCTGTAGGAGGTCCTGTTTAGCTGTTTTTCAGCAATTGTATCACTGTAGCATGCTTTGCAACTTAACTATTTGAAAGTTTACAAAGT